ATGTTTTTTTTTCTTTCTTTTTTTTTTTTTTTTTTTTTTTTACAAATAGTTTATTGTCAAATTAGTTTCCACATGCTTTTATTTATTTCTGAGAGAGAGAGAGACAGCCTGAGTAGGGGAGGGTCAGAGAGAGAGAGACACACAGAATCTGAAGCAGGCTCCAGGCTCTGAGCTAGCTGTCAGCACAGAGCCTGACATGGGGCTTGAACCCACAAACCAAACCATGAGATCATGACCTGGCTTGACTGACTGAGCCATCCAGGCGCCCCTGCTCAGGTCTTGATCTTAGGGTTGTAAGTTCAAGCCCTGTGTTGGGCTCCATGTCTAACTTAAAAAAAAAAAAAAAAAGGATTAGAATATAGCAGGAAAATACTAACCAAAAGCTAACTGATTAGTCTTATAAAATTAATGTAACACAAACTAATCTTTATGTCATAATTAGTCTAATTAGCAAAATGAGTGTCATTAATGGTAAAAGGAAAAGTTTATTCTCCAGGAAAATTTGGCATTTCTTAATATCCATGAATTTAGCACAATATATTCAAAGCAAAAATGACAGAATTACAAGGAGGAATAGACCAATCTACGATTATAGTGGGAGATTCAGAAATTGTTAACACAATTAGTTAGAGTATAGTACTGAACAGTATAAATGTATATATGTATGTACTTTTACCGTGTATATATAGAACTCTTATGTAACATTTCTTTTCAAGTACACATAGATAAATCAGAAGCAACAAAAAGGTTACATCTAGGTCACAACAGGCTATGGACATAAGAAAGATATACTTAATTATTTTGGGTAGTTCACAGAGTAGGTAATATTTAGGTTGATCGTGAAATGTGAGAATATTGTGTGAATATTGTGTAGTGAATGTTTGTGTACCCTCGAAATTCATATGTTGAAGTCTCAGTGTGGCTGCATTTGGAGGTGAGACTCTTTGGAAGTAATTAAGTTTAAATTATAGGTCATAAGGGTAGACCCTGATGTTATAAGATTATTGTGCTTATGAGAAGAGAGACACTGGAGTGCCTGGGTGGCCCAGTCAGTTGAGCATCCGACTCCTGGTTTTGCCTCAGGTCATGATCTCACAGTCATGGGATCAAGCCCTCTGTGCTGAGTGTGGAATCTGCTTGAAATATTCTCTCTCTCTTATGCTGAGCGAAATAAGTTAGGCAGAGAAGGACAAATATCATATGTTTGCACGTATAGGAGGATTAGGAGGAACTTAACGGAGGAACAAGGGGGAGAAGAAGGGGGGAAATGGTGGGGGAAAGGGAGAGAGGCAAACCATGAGAGACTCTTGAATGCTGAGAAAAAAACTGAGGACTGAGGGGAGGGGGGGGGGGGGGGGGATGGGCATGGAGGAGGACACTTGTGGGGATGAACACTGGGTGTTATATGGAAACCAACTTGACAGTAAACTATTTGTAAAAAAAAAAAAAAGAAAAAAGAAAAGATTAATATGATTTTGGAAGAAAACTGAGATGCAAGTAACAAATCTGTTAAAGTTCCGACTTCATGTATTGAGGAAAAAAAAGGAAATATTCTCTCTCTCTCTCTCTCCCCCCTTTCCTCCCTCCCTCCTCCCCCCCTCCACCCCTCCTCCCCATGTATCTCTTTCACTCATGCTCTCTCTCTCTAAAAAAAATTTTTTTTTAAAAATTTTTTGGTTTTATTTAATTTTGAGACAGAGACAGAGCATGAGTTGGGGAGGGGCAGAGAGAGAGGGAGACACAGAATCTGAAACAGGCTCCAGTCTCTGAGCTAGCTGTCAGCACAGAGCCTGATGCGGGGCTTGAACCCACAAACCCTGAGATCATGACCTGAGCCGAAGTCAGACACTTAGCCGACTGAGCCACCCAGGCGCCCCTAAAAAATTTTTTTTAAAAATTAAGGAAAAAAAAAAAAAAAGGAGACACCAGAGAGCCAGTTCTGCATATAACAAAAAGAAGTTAGGCATCTAGAAGCCAGGAGGAAAGCTCTCAAGAGAAATCAAATTTGCTGATACCTTGATCTTGGACTTCTAGCTTCCAGAACTATGAACAAAATAAATTTCTGATATTTAAGACATCTAGTTTGTGGTATTTTGTTACAGTACCCTCAGCTGATTAGCACAGGTTTTCAAGGCTGATGAGAAGCTGGAGAACAGAGAATGGAAAAAAAAAAAAAAGGGTATGAACAAGAAAAAAATTGTTCAAATATATGCAAGGCTCAAATGTATGCAAATAGATGATATGGTGGTGATATGTCATGTGATTAGCACGTGACTGAATTTTCTTATGAGGGGGAGGTGGAAAGGTGAGGCTGCTGAGAACAATTAGCGATCAGTACAGAAAAGAGCAACTTTCTGGAGGACGTGGAATTTGAATGAACTTGTAGAGGGTTATATTTTGATGGGTATGGTGTGCGTAGGCCACATGCTGTCTGTGAATAGTAAATGGTAGAAACAAAGACAGTCTATACAAGGTTAGACTCTAGATGATGCGAAAGCCAACTTGCCTAGAACAGAAAGTTGATAAAGAAGGCCAAACTTTTGATGTGGAACTGATGTGTGAGTAAGCCCGGAAGTGCAGTTGTGCAAGAGGTATGGGACTTAGAAGCTCGTTTGTAAGCTTTAGCCTTTCATGGCTGTAATTAAAGCATATCGGGATTGAATATCAGTTTTTTGTGTTTGTTTTTGTTTGTTTTTTAGTTTCCTGTGTTTTTATAAGATTATACATGTCCCATCTTTTGAAAGAAAATTGTTGTTGTACTTTTTTTGTGTGTAAACATAGTAAAAGAAAATGCTGATAAAATAACATGCAGGTCAAAGCAAGGCTGTTGATGAGTGTACCAATAACAGCCTTAATTTTAAGGTGTGCACTAATTGATAATGCAAAGTTTATTAGCATTGTTAATGGATTAACTAAACCTTTGGAAGGGAGACAAAAGAAAGGTGAGAGATTCCTGATTTCTTTTCCAAAAAGAAAAATATCTTTTGAATGTCTATCACAACTAGCATTTCCAAGGCTAGGGCAGAGATGGTGAGTAAAGCAGACAGTTTGGAAATTTGGAAACGTGAATGTGGCTTTGCAGTGGCCTTCCTAGATTTGGATAAGTTATACTGGCCTTGAATAGAGTCCTTCAGTTT